CTCTTGCCTAGTTAATGATTTTTAAGGAGTTATTTTTTTCAATGAGCTTTTGCATCTTTTTTTCCATTTAGCTAATTCTTTACCCTTTTAAAGGAGTTATTTTCATCAGTGAATTTGTTTGCCTCTTTACATTTGGCCAGTTCTGTTTTTTAAGCTGTTATTTTCTTTAGTATTTTTGTGCCTCTTTTCTTAAGCTGTTAATTGTCTTTTCACAATATCCTTCCTTTGCTTTCATTTCTTTACCTGATTTTTCCTCTACTGTTGTTATTTGATTTTGAAAATCATTTTTTAAATCTTCCAGGAATTCTTGTTGGGCTTGTATCCAACTCACTTTTTTTTTCTCTTTCTTTCTTTCTTTCTTGCTTTCTTTTTTTTTTTTCTTTTTTTTTTTGATGCTTTGCATGTAACTGTTTTGACTTCATTGTCTTCTTCTGAGTATCTTGATATTCCCAGTCACCATAGTAGCTTTTGTATGGTCAGATCCTCATTTTGTTGTTTGCTCATTTTTCTACCCTATTTTTAGATTTGGATCTTTATGTTAATGTTGGGCTCAGTGTTGGGTGGAGGGGAAACTGTCTCAAACATCAGGCTTTTTTGTACTGCTGTAGTTTTGGAGATTTGGAAGTTTTCAGTGCTTCCAAGATGGTGTGATCTGGAGAAACATGTGGTCATTGCTATTCTGGTCCTTATTCAGGAAGGGCCTTTGATCCCTTGGCATTGCAAGAGATATTGCTCCTCAGGGTCTCTGATCCCTTGGGGATAGAAGTGATACTGTTTCCTCAGGGCTTCCACTCCCTCTTGACAGTAACTGCTCTTCCTTGCTCTTGAGCAGTGACCCAGAAGTGGGTTCAGGCAGTGGAATTGCCAAACAGTATCTCCACAGACAATCTCTTCCTGACCAATTGCCAGGTCCCCTTACCGTCTCCAGATTGAGAAATCCTGATGCTGCTATTGCATCAGTCTCCACCACCTCATCCCACCACTCATGTTTCATTCACAGGGGCTCCAGAGTAGCCTCCTCCCCATTGTCACAAATATCTCTTTTTAACCTCCTATGTTGTCTTAGGCTGGAAGAATGTCTCGCTCTGACCTTTTTTTGTCTGTTCTACCACTTTAGAGTTTGTTTTTAGGCATTATTTTAAAGTTGTTTGGAGGGGAATGTTGGGAGAGCTCAGCTGAGCACTTTCTCTACTCTGCCATCTTGGCTTTGCCCCCTGGAAATCTTGTATTCATGCTTTTCAGTATTATCTCCCCAACCAAATGATAAACTTTTTGAGGTCTTATTTGTCTGTGATTAAATTTACCAAGAGCTGCGTCAAAGTATAAACCTTTGAAGGCAGGAGTTGTTTTCATTTTTGTCTTTGTACATCGAAAACCTAGCATAGTATCTTGCTCATAGCAGAATGCTTAAGAAATGTTTGTTGAAATGATGAGTTGGTGGGGCAGCTAGGTGGCGCGGTGGAAAAAGCACCTGCCCTGAAGTCAGGAGGACCTGAGTTCAAATCCAGCCTCAGACAAAACACTTGATAACTTACTAGCTGTGTGACCCTGGGCAAGTCACTTAACCCCAATTGCCTAAAAAAGAAGAAGAAAAAAAAAAGAAATGATGAGTTGGTTGGTTTTAGAAAAACTTGGAAACAGTTGCATGAAATAAGAGTGAAATGAGCGGAACCAAGAGATTATCCACAGTAATAGCAATGTTGTTTTAAGAATAACTTTGAACAACTAAGTCATTTTGAGTATTATAAATATTCACATCAACTACAAAGATCTTATAAAGGAAGATGCTATACACTTTCAGGGAAAGAACTGATAAATAGAAGTACGTATAGTATAGTTTTACATAAATACTTATTTGTATTTAATGGTAGCCTTCTCTAGGGCAAGTTGGGGAAGAAGGGAGGGAGAAAAATAAATAAAAAGTGCACAGCTGGAAACAAAAGAAAACTTACAAGGAAGCACAGAAAAGTTTTTATAGCTTTGAAAATGATGTGTAGTACTTACTAATAACATAGTTTTCCCCAAAAAAGTAAATAGTGTGAAATGGAAATTCATGGTTTTATATTGAATCCTCTTTGTATGTTGTATACATGGAAATATTCTCCTTTTTTTGTCTTTATGTATTTAAATTCAAAATGAATAAAAAATTTTGAAAAGAAATGTTTGTGATTTGGATGTTTGTATAATGTATTAGGTTTGTTGGGTTTTTTGTTTGTTTTGTTTTGTTTTTTAAGTCTAAATTCTTCCCCTGGCATCCTCCCACATCTCAGCCAAAAAAGTAAAGTACTCAAAAGCCACTACTGGTAGGCAACAAAGCCTTTTCCTGCCCTTTTCTGAAGTATCTGTTAATGAACAATAAGTAGGCTGGTGTTATGGACAAGGACTGACTAAAGGTAGTCTAATGATTCAGGTTTGGGATTGTAATAAAATGGGACAATTGTAGACCATCCAACAGTTACAGGAGGAAATTGATTTAGGCATAGTATGGAAAAGATACTAAGCAAGGACACAGCACCCAACCAGTTAGGTTGGCTCGACTATCAAAAAAGGGTAGCCAGTCTGAGGGAGTTGCTATTGACTCCTTGTGAGCTGGCATTTTTCTTTAGGCCACCAGGAGGCTGCATCAGTTTGTCCCCCAGGTTAATTAAATCTCAAGTGTGATTTCAGCACCTCTCAAGGATCTTGAGGTGATAACAAGAGTTAAGATATGGCCAAAGGAGCAAAACCTTAACAAGGTGTATGTGGTTTTTAGCAGGCCTTATAAGGCTAGCCTAGCGTAATCAAAGTGTAATTGAATTTTAGAAATGCTAATGTTTGTACTACAGTTGGTACTGAGAAGAGAGACAAAGAGCAGGAAATGTCATGGGAAGATGTAAATGATGATGCTATTTATTCATTCATTCATTATGTCCTGCACTGTGCCAGGTGTTGGCATAGAGCATTTGCTAAAAGTAGAGGAAAGTGGGAAGGAATACGGATTTAATACCCTGTGCAGGTCTGTGCTAATTATTGTCTCATTTGATCCTCACAACAACCCCACCTGGAAGGGTAGGTGTTGTTATTATTACACCCATTTGACAATTGAGGAAACTGAGGTAGACAGGTTAAGTGACTTGCCCCAAGTCACACCAGTAGTCTGAGGTCAAATTTTAACTCAGGTCTTCTGACTTCAGGCCCAGTGCTATATTTACTGTGCCACTTAGCAGCCTCTGGGCGGTGGAGTATTTCAGGCCATATGCTGTTGGGTAATAACCCCAGTGTGCTCTCTGTCTGCCCCTCACACAAGTATGAAGAAATGAAGTAGTAGAGAAGGAGAAAACTTTTAAAAAGAGTACTGAGTTTAGAAAAAGCAAGAAGAAACTTTGAGAGCAGTGACTTAGGACTGGTAAACCTGAGAATTGTTTGCCTAAAGAGGAAAGAATTCAGGGTGGTTCTTCAGACAGAAGCTAGGTGAACTGTCCAGAGCGCATTCTGGTGGTCTACTTTGAAAACTTGTGCCCTGGATCCCAGAAGGAGAAAGGAACCACCATAGTTTGTTTTTGTCTTTGTGTTCCCAGTACCTAAAACAACCTTTGACACATGGTAGGCATTTAATAAATGTATGTTGAACGAGTAAGTGAATAAATTGAAAACTTCACTAAGGAGACCGATTATTGGGAGACTAGTCTAGCTGAGCTTTATTTGTAAAATCGGGTATTTATTGAATGCTTATTATGTGCTCAGTGCTGTAGGAGATTGAGAAGAATTGTAAAACTTAAAGGAGTTCATAATCTGGTTGAGAAGACAAAAATGAAATATATGAAACTGTAGCAAATAGCACAAAAAAGAATAAATATGTAGTAATCCTTTGGAATTATTGTCTAATGCCAAAAACAAAACTAGAGCAAATAATTTAAGGGTATATATGTGTGTTTTTACAAACAGTATCTGAAAAGAAATCTAGTTTTTTGAAATCTTTTATTTAATAATTTTTACTGAAATGTGTAATATACTTCGATAGCGATTTTGAACTCAAAATTTTGAGGTGGTTTGAATTATTTTTAATCCTTTAGATTCTAGAGTCTTTAAAACATAATACTGTTTTACTCTTTGATAAAATGGTTAAAATGCTGGGTATTAATGACTTTACTATATGAAATTGAAAGTAACATGATACAATGGAAAGAACACCGGAAGAGAAGTAAAAAGACCTGAGTGGAGCCCAGGCCCTCGTTTACTAGAACAAATCACTTCACCTCCACAAGGCTCTAATTTTCCGTTTTTAAAATGACAAGTGTCAGTTCTTCCAGATTGACTTCATGGGATTGTTTTGAGGATAAAATAATAAGTAAAAGAGATTTGAACATTGTAAAACATTATACAATTGTGAGGTTTTATCATAGAAAATCTTCCTAAAGATTCAGAAAGGTTCCAACATAAGACACATTTGTGAATGGCATTGGAAGCTTCATATATTATTTTCAGCATTATTGTCATGTTATTTATTCAAGAAATTTCTGTGGCTCTCTATTGCCCCCTAGGATAAAATACAGATTCATTTGGTATCTGAAGTCTTTCACAATCTGACTTCAGCCCAACTTTTCAGCTTCTTGGACAGTGTTCCTGCTGATCCCTACCCCCTGCGCTACTATTTCCAAACAATCTGGCTTACTGAATGTTTCCTGTAGATGACGTTCCATCTCCTACCTCCATGTTCTCCTTCCTCGCCTACGCTGTCCCTTCAATACTCAGCTCAGAGACCACTTCCTACACTAGACCTTTTCTGAATTCTCAATTTTTTGTGCTTCTCTTTCCCTGAAAAACTCCCAATTATTTTGTAGATTATCTGTGTGTATAGTGTCTTCTCCCAGTAGAATGTAAGCTCCTTAACTGTAATTAAAATTAAAATCTGTTATTTTGTTTTTGTCCAATATCCCCAGTACTTTGTATGTTATCTAATAATTTCTAATTGAATTGAAAGATCCAGTTTTTAAATAAATTTCATGTCATTTGCTTTACAGTTGATGGCAATACCTGGGCACAAGTAATTGCCTTATACCCAACTTTAGTAGAATGCATAACCTGCTCGTCTCCAGAAATCTGCTCAGCACTTAAAGAGGCTTTAAGTCCCTTTAAGGACTTCATGCATCCACCAGCATCCAAGGTACAAAATGGAGAATCTTGACCTCATATTTATATTTGAAGGAGAAAATATCCCTCCCCCCAAAAAAGGAACGTTTGCTTCTGAATGAGGAGGACTCACTTTTGCTTCTGTGAGAAGGACATCTCTTGCAAATGATACTTGGCAGCTGTTATTGGCTTCCTTTTAATTGTACTAACAAGAGCTTGGTGATTTATGTATACTACAAGCTTACACCTCAAAAAAGTTCCAAAATGAATAACAGTGCAAGTCTTTAATAAATTAAACTGAATGGGTGGAATCATTTATAATCTAATGTGCCTGCTACAGTATACAGAAGTGGTGACTGAAAAGTGGGCTTATGTACAGTTTGTGGTGTATGTGTTAATGATGTAATTTTAAAGAAGTATTTCAATTCAGTCCTTTATTAGGCTGGTGTTTTGCACCCTTTTTCAAGTACAAAATTGTACAAAAATTTTATGCAAGATGGTACTGTAACATTCCATATTGTCTGTAACCAGCCTTTGTAAACAAAGGGAGATGATATTCTTGTGTATACAATAAATGGTACAGTTCTGTATAAAATAGTTGCATTTATTATTTAAATTTTTTAATATTGACAATGCTAAATGCTTGAGAGGATATGTATTTATTATGAATACAAAATTGTATGCTTACATTTTTACTTATTTTACTTTATTGATTAGCAGATATACTCATCACATGATCATGCAATTAGCTTTGTGCTTATTTTGAATGTATTTACAATAGTGATTAAACATCTAACTAGAAAGGTCATATGAAGACAGTGGCAAATAGTCGATGTTTGCTGATTTAAAATTTTGAATTGTTTGAAATAGACTAATTTTAATACATTGATATGTTGTAGCATTATGACTCCATACCTCATGTCTTTAATGTCTTTTGCCAATTTGCTTTATCTATTCATTTTTGTATTTTCCTTTTGGATTTTAAATAGTATTTGTACTGATTTCTACTCACTCCCCACTAATGACATTTGTCACTGTCTGAATTATGACCTAAGCAAGTTGATTTAAAATAGCCTAAAATTTTGGCTATATCAGATTTTACTCATTTCAGTTATCTTCACTGTTTCATTTTGTACGTTTTTTCAGTGAGGGAAATTCTTGTGCTAACCTTTAAGCAGAAAAATGTGTGTGTATTATAAAACAAGGAGAAGTGTATTTTTGGAGATAGTCATGCATTTAGAAGTATAGTAAACTTTCTGTCATGGAGTAAAATGCTTATTTGTTTCACTTTCCTAAACCTAAGTATCAGAGAGTACTAAGTACTTTTACTTGTTTCTTAAAAAAAAAAAAAAAATTATGTCCTAGCCAAATATACTTTTTATTTCATGGATTATGGTAATGTAGTATTTTTTAGTTAAAAGTTTTCATTGATTGGAAGGGATAATGATGTTTAAAGCAATGATTATTTGTAAGAAATACAAATGGTATTTGTGTGCTGAAAAATCTTTACTTTTCATAGATTTTATACATTTTTGACTCACCTGATCAAGTCATAAAAGTATCAAGTATCAAAATTGAGTAACAGATTTCATAGAAATTGGGGCTGTTGTTAATTGTGTAATTCTAAAACTTTTCACATTGTCATTCTCTTATACCATACCTAGAGACATGAAGAGTGTATGTGTGTTGGGGGGGAGGGAGCAGGGGTAGGGATGTTTCAGAATGATTTTTTTAAAGGAATTATTGAACTTTTAAAATTTCACTTTAAATTTGTGTAACATGTTACATTTCTTAAGTTCTGTGATGTCACATTTTTACTCGAAAGTTAAAGGAAAAAAACTATTTAAACTGAATGTACTTACTTTATTCTGTCTTCAGGTATAGTCAGTTTAAAAGTAGGAGATCGGTATATTGTGTTAATGTAAATTAATAACCTATATTTCGGCAACTTCCTGGAAAAATTGTATGAATATAATCATAATAGGTATTTGGATATGATCATGCCGAAAGTAACTCATTTTGAAAAACAGTTCCAAAATGGACTGACATATTGACTATTCTGAGCATTTAGCTAATGAATGTTGAAATGCGCAACCTGTGAATTTTATTTATAAACTAGGATTCTACTAGACTTAACTTTGTAGGAACATGTTGCATAAACCCGGTTGCCTACATTGTAAATTTTAAGGGTGCCTGAAATGATCACTAAATATTTCTTCTAAGCACTCTCTTTTGAAATGCACAGAACATCAAAAGGGTTAATACATTAAGCTATTAACACTTCAATATGAATTCCTTCCAACAGTAACAAATTGCTTTAAAGAAGACTGCTTTGCTGGGGCTGCCAAAAGGAAGATGCCAAAATCTCCCACTTTATAACCCTGATATTGAGTCTTCATTTTTAAAATGAGGAGGGCTGGGCTACATGATCTCTAACAATCTATGAATTTATGATTGTGTTTTATGGGGAAATATCGCTAAATGATCTCTATAATTCATGTGTTAAGCACAATTTATGAACTCTTTGATGGTCACTTATCAATTTTTTCTTCAGAGTTGGTTAAGAGAATTTTTTTTTTCTTTCTGACATTGGATATTTTTCAAGAAACAGTCTATACAGGATATATTCACTTTTACCCATCTTGTAGATGGCTGGACAACTATCAAACACCCTTTCTGATATTGCTTACAAAAGGTGAAAGAAATTATCATTTGTACAGCTGAGTCTCCATTTCCCTGCTATTATCATTACTGCCATAAAGGGAAGTAGGTATAGGGTAAAGCACTCTCATTTAATTCAGATTCTTAAAATTTCTTATATTTGCTGCCAAAGGTATAGAATTGTACAAAAGCAAAGGCATAGAACAGACCATCAAAGATGTATGACCTGAAAAAGATCTGGTTATGTAGCAAGAGCTACGGCTAACAAATCAACAGCTTGAGTGCTGCACAGATACCACATGATATTATGAAACCTATAAGAAGGCTTCTAGCACATTGAGTGCATCCCTTGTGGAAGATTTATAGTTGGGCATGAACAAGAGCTCTTTAAAATAGATAGGCATGGATGGGTTGTGAGCTGCACCACAGGAAGGAGTGTCCAAATCAGTGAGATCACTAATCCACTGAAGTATTCCTTAAAATCACTGCTAGCTTAAAAAAAAAAAAAAGATAGCAGGATATGTAAGACCCTGTTAAAAATATTTATTTTTATACTTGTGAGCTGTTAAGTGCAGCAAGGAATTAAGAAGAAAGTAAAAGATCAATTCCCTGACTTTGAGTTGTATAGAATCACATAATATATTTACAGATTGTCTTGCTGAAGGATCACCCAAGTCATTCTACCTGTCATCCATAAATGGGCTGAGTCTATAGGGGACTCACCTGTGATTTCATTAATACAGGAAACTCACAGGTAAGGAAACTTCCTTGACCAGTGCAAGGCAGCACCTTCTCTACAAATTTTAATCTTGTTTGCCTGGAGCATTGAGAGTTTAAATGACTTTCCAAGAGTCACAAAGCCAATATGTATGTATTACAAAAGGGACTTGAACCCAGGTCTTCCATAACCACCTTGTATGTACCCTTTGTCACAAGGAGAACCAGACAAGAAGTATGGATGGAATAGCCAAAATTGATCACCATGATTTAAGAGTCAAAAACTCTCAACAGCACACGTCAAACTTAAGTGTTGTCATTTTTTTTTCTTTTTTCAGGGGGCAGGGTGAGGGGCAGGAATCATCTTTATTATTATAAGCAAAATTACCCAAATGTGGTAGAACCAGATGATGGCTACACACCCTGCCCCCTGCATTATTCGTAAGGAGACCATTGTATCTGCTGGTGGTTGGGATCTCTGTTGCCAATAGCAGTAGCAAGCTTCTTTGGGAACTTGCCCACATAGGTGCTAGCAGGGGCAGTTTGAGCTCTATTTTGTGAATCGACAGGCTTAATTAACACCGTGGTGGGAGGGCTGTACAGCTACTGACTACAGTGGTCCTGATAGAAGCAGCCACAGCTATGGCACTTTTCCCAACAACTCGCCTTACAGGTTTTGAAGGATATATTTGTAACCATGAAACCGTGGTACTATACAAGGAAGACTGTTGTACCAAGATTAAAGTATGATGTTGTTTTATGATTGTCTATTAGAGTAACTTATTTGTTATCGTTTGTGAGAAATAAGGGTTAATATCACTATGATGTGTTTTAATAGGGTGGGGCAGACAAATGTATTAATACATCCAAATGACTCAAAACATTTCCTTGTGACAGGGAAATAGCTATGCTTTCGATTTGAGAGTTAAGGGATTTTATAGTTTAGAAAGCTAAAGCAAAATAGTATAGCTGTAACTCTGTGTGATAAATGTGTTCATGAAAATTAACACAAATAATTTTTAATAAAGTCATATTTTAACTATATTAGGGCAAATGGTTTTTTTAAAGAAAATGTGTGATGAGTCCTTTTGTAGAGGGTGAATACTCTCCCCCCTCCCCAGTTTCATAGGATTATAGATCTTGAGTGGAAGAGACCTCAGAAGCCATCTAATTTATCTCCCTAATTTTATATATGAGGAACCTAAGGCCCCAGGAGGTTGTGACTTGTTCAAGGTCACACAAGAAGTACCAGAGGAAGGATTTGAACCCAACTCCTTTGATTCCAAATCCAAAGATTTCCACCCTATCAATTTATCAACTATATGATTTTTTTAAAACTTGCGTATCTTATTTTCTTAAAGCAAAGCACATCTGAAGTGATTTGATCACTGCTACAGTGATGTTATTGTGAAGTTGGAAATAATATCTAGAACTTTTCAACTCTCATACATCTTCTGTCCACAATTCCAAAGCTGGCAAGAACATGATTGTTTTCATGTATTTGGATAAGGAATGAATTTCTGATGCCTTCTACATTAGTCATTTATTTGTTAAATTTGATTTTCATTAATATATATGATTAGAAACCTTCAACTGTAGATGTGGTATTTTCTGTATTTCCACATCTTCTTGCTCTTACCTCCTAAACAATACCTTCTTTCCATCCTCTTTCTTTCATTACATTTCCAATTACCTTGTTTCCTTTCTTCATGCTTTCCTTTCTTTTGTCTGTACTTCCCCTATGCCATTACTCATTTTTCTCACCCTTCCCTATTTCAGTTCTTGTAACTTCACCCCCTCTACAATTCATAAGAAATGTATTTGGCAGTGGAAGTACCTTAGCTAAATGTTTGTGAGCAGCTGACAAGTACATATATGGATGGCGAGACAGGTACATCTCTTCCATTTCTGCCATTGCTGCCATTTTAGAGGTATGCTGTGGCTTGGCATAAAAGCAGAAGCAGATATGAAATTACTCTGTAACTACTGCTTCCTCCTTTACTAATGCTGTGTCTCCCAGAGTCAACAGCCAGAGCCAACTTGCCATTTCATTGTTCATTTGATCCTGGGACCTGGAAAAGGGAACTACTTTGCTCCTCTTTCTTCTAATTCCAACCTTAGTTCAAGGCTATTTATGAAGCCCTCAGCTTCCTATACAGAATTGATTTTCCCATTAGAATCACAGAATCTTCTTTGTAAGGGATCTTAGAAGTCATCGTGTCCAACCTGTACTGGAGTAGGAATCTCCAGTTGTTCTTGACTTTACCCTCTCAGCACAGAATAAGTCTATTCCTTCTTCCCCATGACAGCTCCTGAGATACTTGAAAAGACCTATCCTGACCCCCTAATCTCTTCTCCAGTCATTCCTTCAAACAATCTTCTTAACTATCCTTGTCATCTTTCCCTGAGTGTGTTTCAATTTGTCAATATCTTCCTAAAAAAGATCATTGGCTTTGGAGTCAAAGGGTCTGAATTCCAATCCTTCCTTTGATACTTAACTGCCTATACTCAAAATTGAAGACAGTACGTAAGATATAGTTTCACCAGGATAGAATCTAATGGGACTGTGACTTCCCTTGTTCTGGACCTGGTGCCTAAGTTTATGTAGCTTGAGTCTGAATTAGAATTTTTAGCAGCCATCACATACGTATCAAGCTTTCACTGTGCTCAAACGCCCAGATCTCTTTCATATGAGCTGTTATCTAGCTATTCCTTCCCCATCCTACAATTGAACAGTTAACAACTGAACCCAAGTTTAAGATCTATTTATCCCAAATAAATTTAATTTTGTCATATTCAGCCTGTAGTACTAGCCTGTCAGGGTGTTTTTGGAAACAAGCTGTGTCATTCAGCATTCTAGCTACCCCTCCAGGATTTGTACCATCTATAAATGTGATAAATACTCCATCTGTGACTTCAAGTCATCAGTAAAAAATGTTAATAGCATAGGGCCCAGAACAAATCCTTGGGGTGCTCCAGTAAACTTCACTACAAAGATTATGTCAATCCATTAAATGACTACTCTTTTAGTCCAGTCATACAAATAGTTCTGAATCCACCAAACTACACTGTGATCTAGCCTACATCTTTCTGCATCTAACCTCCAGGATAATGAATGGGATTTTCATTATCAGTGCCTTACTGAAATACTAGACTGCGCTTTAACAGTTTAATGAACTGTCAAAAAAGGAAAGGAGGTTGGGCTGGTATAACCTGTTCTTGATGAACTATGCTGGATTTTTGTGATCTTTCACTTCCCTTTCCAAATACTTATAAATCATACCTTTAATAATATGTCCTCAAAGCTTGCCAGGAATCTAAGGTAATTCCATCAACTTAATATTTGAAGAGTCCATCATCTGCTTTCAAAAGAAAATTAGAACATTTTGCTTGTCTTCATTCCTATGCCATTTCTCCCATTCACCCTCATTTTTTCAGTGATCACACCTGCCAGATGGAATTCTTCTGTGCTTGGTGTCATGAAATCATTGAGAGTACCTTGATGTCCTCTTACCACCCCTATCTTCACTTATGTTGAATTTCATTTCCTTGCTAACCCATTTTTAGTCAATAGGAAAATTTCCCAACCTAAACATCAGTCTCTAGTAGATACAAGAAGAGTTGAAAAGTTCTCAGTTCTCTCAAATATCAGTTATTATCTCATCTACACTTTGAGTAGTTCTAACACCTCTTTGATCTTCCTCATAACCCTAACATTTTTGTTGTTGTTAAGTGATTTCAGTCATGTCTAACTCTTTGTGACTCCATTTGGGGTTTTCTTGCAGAGATACTGGAGTGGTTTGCCATTTCCTTTTCTAGCTCAGTTTATAGATGAGGAAACTGAGGCAAACGGGGTTAAGTGACTTGCCACGGTCACAGTGTCTGAGGCCAAATTCCCTCAAGAAGGTGAGTCTTCCTAACTCCAGACCCAGCGCTCTATCTACTGTGCCACCTAGTTGCCCCTAACCCTAACAGAGCTGATTTTAAAATACCCCTTTGTCTTTGGAATTCTTGGACTGCCTCTGCTTGTTGTGAGCATTACTGTTCTTAAATGATTGTGTCAATCTTTTGTATTGTTACTACTCCTCTTTTCTACATCTCTTTTTTCAAATCTCATTTGGTCATGTCCACATCAATGTCTTTGGACAACTCCCTTTACAAGAATTTTATTCGTGAGAGACTTCTCTACTTCCTGAGCCTACTTCCCATTTAAATTTTAGGCTGTGTGATTTTAGCTATCTCAAAGTTATCTTAAAATCCTCAAGCCAATTAAGAATTCTCTGTGGTGTGGATAAGTGGAAAACTTACTTTAGTTCTGTTTATCCGGCATTTTACAGTTTACAGAGCACTTTACTTTCTTCTTAACCCTTTGAGATTATTGTACCTATGAGGAAACAGTCTTAGAGAAGTTAATTTCCAGCCACCTCTTGGTTAATAAGCTAGGGTCCAAATCTAAGTCATCAGAGCACTGATTTAGACCTGGAAAGGACCTTCAAAATCATCTAGTACAATGCCTTCATTTTATAGGTAAGGAAACTGAGGCCCAGAGAGGTGAAATGACTTTCATAAAACTCCATGAAAAGAGAGAGCAGAAGCTAAACCCTCCATTTTGGTATTCTGACTCTAAATCTAATGCTCTTTGCACTGTATCACATTGCCTCAAACATAGATCTGTAACACTCATCTTGTAGGACACATTTAAAAATTATTTAAAACATGTCTAAATTTTTTAGAACTCTGTTTTTAACCTGTTATTTTCAGCTTGTTCTCTTCTGTTTCATAGTAACATACTTTAATAAGAAACCTAGCACTTGACAATTTTT